ATATTTAGCTAGGGTGGATGCCAGCAAGCCCCAGCTACTATCCTATACTTTTCAGTTCAGAGCTGTGGATACAGACATGTTCAGATTGCATGGCTAGTTACATGGGTGTGGATACAGATATGCTCAGATCGCAACATGGGTGTTGGGATTCAAACTCTGACCCTTACAATTGAACACCAATCACTCCTACATGCTAAGCCATCTCTTTAGCTTTCTGAATCTGTGTTTAAAAATGATTATATATTTAATCATTTATATGTAATATATATATATATATATATATATATATATATATATTAGTATGTGTGTGTGCGCGCACTTGCGTGTGTACCACAGTGTGCCTGTGGAGTTCAGAGAACAACTTGTCAGACTGGATTCTCACATGGGTCCAGGTATCAAACTCAGGTTATCAGTCTTGGTGGCAAGTACTTGCTGGACCACCTCTCTGGCTCAGCCACTGAGTCAGAATCTAAGGTTAAGGATCTGCAAGGGTTTGTTTATTTTATATGTGACTCATTCAAGCTTGAAATAATCTCAAAGCAATTTATCCATGTGTGTGCTCAGAACTATAACTTCTTTGCTTTCTTCCCTCTCGATTATTGCTGTAGCAAAAATCACAAAAAAAAAAAGTGAAATAACTGCCCTTGTCAAGGCTGCAGACATTAACATTGGCTGTCTGTCTTTCCCCAGGGTTTCTTTCCTAGTTTTAATAAAACTTGAATCATACAGCAAACATAGTTTTGTGACTTGTTTTTATTTGACTGAATCATCTAGGCTAAACATATATTCTTTTTTTAAAATATTTATTTATTTATTATGTATACAATATTCTGTCGTGTATATGCCTGAGGCCAGAAGAGGGCACCAGACCTCATTACAGATGGTTGTGAGCTATCATGTGGTTGCTGGGAATTGAACTCAGGACCTTTGGAAGAGCAGGCAATGCTCTTAACGGCTGAGCCATCTCTGCAGCCCCTAAACATATATTCTTAATAGGATTGTTCTTCTTACAAAGACATAGATAACCAAAGGAAATAAATGTCTAACTTAAGAAATATCCTTGGAAATACTAACAAAATTAAGAATGGACATCCCCAAGTTACCTTATAACCCTCCACATGCATATTTTAACAACAACCCCAAGTCTAACCTCTACTTTACCCAATTTTAAAAGCTTTTTCAGCCAGATGTGAATCCCTGGGCCCTACGCTTTAGTCACTGAAAACAATCCAGTACACAATACAATCAAAAGGAATCAAAACCCAGGGACTTCTGTATGCTAGGCAGACACTCTCATTATTAGAGACAACCCCAGCCTCTAAAACATCATTTACTTAAAAAGATTAATTACACCTATGTACATATACATTTATGTGCATGTATGTGTATATGGGTTATGTGTGTGGGTGTGCATGCCAGAGTGTGCATGTGGTCAGAAGTAACTTCGTGGGAGTCAGTTCTCAGTCTGTAAGTGTCAACTTAGAGTATCTTTAGATTGTATTGTGTTAGGAAGTTTTATTTATAAATGTCGTTATTTGAGTTGTATAAATCGCTAAGTGGTTTTGGGCTTGGAATTGGGAAGTGGCCTTAAATCTATTTCTGTTGTTCTGTATTTTATATCTATGTGAAGTGGCGTTCTCAGCACAGATGGTGGCACACTCAGAAAAACACCAAATAGACCCTTGCTCCTGCTATCCAATATTCAGCCAGGATTGAGGTTTCGCTCTGTAGACCAGGCTGGCCTCGAACTCACAGAGATCCGCCTGCCTCTGCCTCCCGAGTGCTGGGATTAAAAGCGTGCGCCACCACCGCCCAGCAGGATGGAGTTCTCTACAGCATCTTAAGCATGTCAATTCGCTTTCATATTTAATAAATAGTACAATATACATATATCCAAGCATTGCTTTAAAATAAACTTATGCTTAGTCATCAGTAAATTTGTACACTTATATATGTTGCATAAAAAAATTTAAGCATAAAGGGGTCATAAGATTAAAAAAGTTTAAGAAGTACACCTGAATCTAATTCCTTGGTTTTTAACATTTTACTTGGATCCTTCTTCTGAGCCTTTGGGGAATAATGTCAGATTTTAAATAGGAACAGAGTACAACGGGCTTAACTTCAACACTATTTTCTACATATATATATTAATATGTACACGAAATACTATATGAGAATAACTCTCGCAAAATCTTCTTTCAGAAAAGTCAGTATGTATAGCTGAGTGACTTTGAAGAAGAAATTGTTCTCTGGATAATAACAATGTTGCAACTGTAGTAGGAAGTTCAAAATGGTCCTTAAAGATTATGTGTTGTTTGAAAGTTGAATCTAGGCTAGGAAAATGATGTGTCATTAGAGCTCCATTAAGGATGGTCGATCTTTCTGTCTTTTTTTTTTTTTTTCTTAACTCAAGGCCAAATGACTACACCTTGGAATTGCAGCACTTGACCCGAAGGCAGCATTAGTCTTTTCCAGGCCTGATATCTGACGAAGCTATCACTGGGAAGTGATGTCCCAAGGAAGGTCATACCCACAGCACAGGGACCTGAAGCGGCCAGCAGGTCAGCACAGTGTCCTGCTGCGGGAGAGGACGCCTTTCCTTCTTCTGAAAACACTAAGGTTATAACGTTTATAATGTGTATACATCTTTTCACAATTTTACTTACTTTCTGAGTAGGGTTTTACTATCTAGCTCTGACCGTCCTGGAACTCACAGAGCTCTGCCTTCCTCTGCCTCCCGAGCATGGGGTTAGACGCATGTGCCATTACACCCAGCTGCACAAAAACTTTCTACGGATACATTCTATATGTAATTTTGCCTTGATGACCCCACTCTACGCTGTAGTACTTTTATGACTATGGTTTAGCCAGTGATGTCTACCTTAGGAAAGCACCCCTCAAGCAACACTGCATTGGAAGCCTCTTCCATCAACACCATCCTTAAAATTGGGTGGTGCCTATTTGATAGGCTGGGAATTTCCCAGGATTCCCTCCTTGTGCCCGACTCACCTGCAAAGGGCCTCTCTACTCCTAGTAGACCATCAAGACTAGGAGATGGGGATGAACACGGGGTTTACATTGCAGCGTTCAGCTGCGTTCCCAGTCGACTCCGTCAATGGTCCCCGTGCCTCCCCCCCCCCCCCCCCCCCCCCCCCCCCCCCCCCCCCCCCCCCCCNGCCCTCTCAGTGCTCCCTGATAATGACGCATGCCCACTGAGGCTCGGATGGCTCTTACCTGGCTGATGGTGCTCATGGCGCGCATGTAGCTCTCATTTCTGGAGCGGAACTTTGGCGATGTGAGCAAGCCTGCAGGGTCCAGGCTGTCCAGGCTTCTGTTGATGGAGACTTCACTCACGGCCCTCAGGTAACTGTGACTCCGGATCTGGAGTTTGGGTGAGTGTTCATTGGAGATCCTGGAAGAGACCAATGGAAGGAAGGGTTTGCTGCGTGTTCACTGGAGGTCCTGGAGGAGGAGTCATATTCCACAGGGGCGGTGAGGTAGCTGTGGTGGCTGTCCTTGGTGCAGCACCCTTAACACCAGGACAAACAGCACTGAGGTCTTATTGCTAAAGAGTCATAGTGAGACTCAGGAGGATAACCTGTTCTTACGTTTCTATTCTTGCTTTCTTTTAAATTAAAATTTGTTTTAATTGACATGTAATAATTTTATATGCATCAATAGAGGTCATGGTGCGATATTTCATTGCATTTTTTTTTCTTTCTGAGACAGGGTTTCTCTGGTAGCCGTGGCTGGCCTCGAACTCACAGAGATCCACCTGCCTCTGCCTCCCGAGTGCTGGGATTAAAGACGCGCGCCATCACTACCATTGCCTGACCAGTGCAATGCATTCCTTTGGGAATGTGGCTGTAGCTGCTGGTTGGCTGACCATGTCCCATCGGATGGTCTCACACACAGCCTTCAAATCAATGGAGATCAGCTATTTACCAGTGACGTGAGAGCAGCTGAAGATTCAGTTATTGGGAAAAGAAATTATTCTTATCCATGCAGATTAAAAAATGAAAATATTAGAAGCCATCATAAGTAGATCTAACAATGAATAAAAATCAGGTTTAGTCACCCCTGCTAAAGGCTCTCTAGGGCGCACTGCCTGAAGATAAATAGACCCACAGGAAAGACGTTTATATGATATCAGGCACAAGACAAGGTGTGCGGGCTGGAGAGGTGGCTCACAGGTTAAGAGCACTGACTGCTCTTTCCGAGGTCCTGAGTTCAATTCCCAGCAACCACATGGTGGATCACAACCATCTGTAATGAGATCTGGTGCCCTCTACTGGCCTATAGAATATATGTAGGCAGAATACTGTGTACATAATGAATAAATAAATCTAACAAAAAAAGACAAGGTGTGCAGTCTCACTGAAATCCAGAGAAATGTTGAGTACAAAAAAAATCACACGTTTTCAAAGCACATCCATGGGAAGTAAGGACACTCCAAATGTCCTTTAAGCGGCAACGCATGAGGTCACACCCATTCCTAAGGATTACAGGAAACTGCTTAATAACGGCTGAAAAACAGATTCCGGGTAAGACTGCTACCCCAGAATTTGCTTAGCAGTGGTTTTATTCACCAATTGGACAGACAAAACACTGAAAACAGATGTAGACCAAATGTCTGAAGGAAACCTGGTATTTTATTACGATGAGGAAGAAACGATTGTCCTAGAAGCCTGTCCTATGGGTTATCTGGGCAGCTCTCAAGAAAGAGCACGCCTCTGCCAGGACAAGCGGATATTTTTTTATGTGTTAATGATATTCTGGAGATCCACATTGGGTCCCTTTGCCATCCCAGGAATTCTACCCAGCCGCTAAACTTCAATTTATTTTCTCAAACATCTCTGTTTTGAAAAGTGTGTTAAGCCTTTTATAAGCTAATGTTCACTTCCACTTAGAACCCGAGCACGTGGTGACACATTCGTTTTCTTATGACCCAGAGCAAGGACACCCCCCAAACAAATGATACTGCCATTGTGTACGGTCATCAGGGCAAGGACAGGAGTGGCGCTTTCATAACAGAATGTATGCAAGAAGAAACAAAAGTGCGGTTTTTGAAAAGCGAGTGTCTGCTGGCTGAGATGCGGAAATGAGGCATCACCGTGACAACCACCCATCTCGGTCACTTGTTATAAAATAAGGCATCGTTCCAAACATTTCAAAGTGGAAAAACAAATTGAGAAGCAACTGAATAGCTCCCTTTCAGTGAGTCATTTCTGATAAAAACACACACACACACACACAAAACACAAAACAATGCATACCTCAGTAACCCATGACACACGAGGAAATGAACTTTATCTAATCTAGAGGGTAGAGGTTGCAGCTATCCACACAGAGGACAGCCTGGACCTGCACTTCCTGGTGCGGAAGAGGCCAGTAAGAAACGTTGACAGTTTGCTCTTTGCCCCCTCCACAGCAATGGATACTCCCTGAAGGAGGTGCGCACCGTCGGAACTGGGAGAGAGAACTACCCTTCAGTGTCAACCTCTTGGACTGAGACCGGCCTTCTCCCACTGTCCTTCCTGAGTCCTCTGAGACTTATCCTTCCGAAGTCCATAAAAACTCAAGTGGGACTTTGGCCTTGGGGGAGATGGGCAGAGAACCCTACTCACTCTCATATCCCTAAGCACAGCCACTTAAAGAGACAACCCTTAAGGGAGCTCTGGGGTTGATCGTGAGGCTGTGATTGCAAAGAAGATCTGAGAAGACTCGGACCATGAAGTTTCAAGCCAATGCCTCAACAAAGAAAATAACCAACTTTGTAATATAGAACTAAAAATATGACCAGATGACTGGTTACTATTATTATTATTTATTTTATATTAGTTTTAACTGAAGAGAAGTGATTCCATGTGACTGTGTCTAACAAGAGTCTTGGGTGGGGACGGGACACCTAACTGGTCCATCTAGCTCTAAGCTTTTGTTCTTTCTCATCTGGTTTTGACTCTGACTCCTACAACGTTTATGTAAAGCAATGCCATATGCAGAGGCAACATCTGGCTTGGTTCTATTCTGAAAATGAAGATATTTGACCTTGGCCATGACCCCCTTATTGAAGTATACCACAGACATTCATGGCTTAAATGGGGCTTTGATTCCTTGGGCTTTCAGGTAGAAAAGGGTACTTCAGCCAGTGACGGCATTTGGTTACCGGGTTTCAAGATGCTTTATGAGTTAATCTGCTTCAGTAAAACTGAGGCCAACTTTTCCCCCCTCATCCTGCTGTGCATGCTCTATAAAGGGCTATCTTTTGATCAAATTGTTTCTTGGGTCGATGCCTCTTGAATGATTTCCACCTGACATTTCTTACTACTTAGTAAACATGCAGGTATTGATATTATCCCACTATATATCAAGAAACAACTTCTCTAAGAGTCTGCATAGTTTGAAGATAATTTTTACTTATTATGAAAATCTGATCTTGAGACAGGGTCTCATTAAGTATCCAAGGCTAGCCTTGAACTTGAGAGCCTTCTTGCCTCAGTTTCCCTCATGCTTGTATTATAGGCAGGTGCCACCAATTGTCGAAGGCAATTTAAGTAGAACCTTCCTATTTCTGACGTCTCCACCATGACGTTCTGATAGGCTCATATAGTTGAATGCTTAGTCACCAGGGAGCGGAACTCTTTGATAGGATTAGAAGGATTAGGAGGTGTGGCCTTGTTGGAGGAAGTGTGTCACTGGGGTCTGGGGTGGCCTTTGAAGTTTCAAAAGCCCATGCCAGGCTCAGAGTCTCTCTCTCTCTCTCTCTCTCTCTCTCTCTCTC